ATAGTGCCATTACCTAAAGCAAAGCATATCCACCCTTTTCCATGTATGGTGCTTAAGTGTACAGTTCATGCCTTATTTATTCCAGATCACCACCCCAAGGCAGATCTAATGAAGGTGATGGTCACCATCCATAACAGAGCAAGAAGACTCTCTCCCAGGCTGTGAATGAAAGAGGCCTCCTCCTGATGAACAGGACTCTTTTAAATTAGATGTTAGACTAAAATGGATTACTATCACTGAAGTGATGAAGGACTTATTAGGGTGGGAAGAAGAGTAGAGTTACAAGCAAAAGGCCAACAAGAGCTCTCTTTTAGCCAACCGACTTGCTAATTCTGAGAACTACAACAGGAATTCAAGGCTGAAAATCTTACCCTAGGATGTGGCAACTTGGAGCTCAAGGACAAACAGTTTCCCTCACAATCTAGAGCTGTGAGCTGGGTAGTAAAAGTAAGAAAATAAATAGTTCTGATAGAACTACATTAAGGGCCTCCCTGGTGGCACAGCACTGAGAAGCTAAAGCTACTTCCGCATGAGTTCGATTCCCGCTTGCCCCAGAGGTGACCACATGGTGTGGCAGACCTCTCCTGACCCGCCCGCTGCTCCCCTCAGCAGTGTACTTCGTCGATCTGCCTGTTCTGCTCCCCACTCTGTCTCTGGTGAAGCCTCTCGTGGCCCCTGAGCCTCTGGCCTGTATCCCAGTTCTATATGAACAAATAAATAAATCGTTTTTAAAAAAATACATATATATACGCTCTAAAGCTCTATGAGAATAGCAGTTTTGTTACTGCTCCTTTTCTAGTGCCTAGAAACATGGCAGACACAAATATTTGTTGAATGATTAATGTGAATGATTAACTCAAATTAATGAAGGTTAAGAAGTTACCTAATATAGCACTCAATAGCTACACATGATTACTGAGCATTTGAAATATGACTAGATCAAATTGAGTTGTGCTGTTAAGCAAGTACTTGATTTCAAGGATTTAGTACAAAGAATGTAAAATACCTAATTGATAAGTTCCATACTGATTTGATGGTGCAATTTAAAAATCTGAATAGAGTGCCCTCCCTGGTGGCATAGTGGGTTAAAGCACTGCACTAAGAAGCTAAAGCCACTTCCACATGAGTTCGATCCCCGCCTGCCCCGGAGGTGACCACATGGCGTGGCAGACCTCTCCTGACCCGCCCGCTGCTCCCCTCAGCAGTGTACTTCGTCTGTCTGCCTGTTCTGTTCCCCACTCTGTCTCTGGTGAAGCCTCTCGCCACCCCTGAGCCTCTGGCCTGTACCCCAGTTCTGTATGCACAAATAAATAAATCTTTAAAAAAAAAATCTGAATAGACTGAGTTAATATTCCATATTAAACTAGCCTACATATTACTTTTTAAAATGTGGCTACTATGAAATACAGAATTGCATATGTAATTCATATTATAATTTTATTGGACAGCACTGATTTAGAAAATATGTCTCAATACCTCAGATATATCAGCTTTTTTTGTTATATTTTAAATTATATAATTAAAAATGACATTTCCCTTAATAAAAAAAGTAATAATGGCTGCAGAAAGACATGTTACTGAGTTTTCTGCTTTTGGCATATCATCAAGAGTTTTTAAGCAAAGCTATGTAAAGGGGCACGGGGCACTGGTCAAGTTAGAGTGAGTTTTAAAAAACAAATTGAAAATTACTAGAAAAATATTAGAGTTGTCCTAACGAAACGTATTTTTATATTCATTTGAAACATTACCTCAGATGTATGAGGTAGCGTAATAACCGTTCTTCTGTATGTCGGGTGTTCTCTTTATTAACCCTTCTCTTCATTTCTTGTTTGACAGGTACAGAAAAAGTTCTCTGCCGTAGGAATGTCTGATGATTGGCTGGCATCTCTCGCAAGTCATATATCACAACAAACATCTTCACCACAGTCTTATTAGGATTAAATAAGGTCTGAAGAAACAATACAGAATTTATTTGTTAAAAAGTTACTAGTTGATTGGAATCAAAATGATTTTGCCAGTAATAAAATAAGATTTTAATAAAAGGCAATCCCAGTGGAGGTAATTCAGTTGGAGAACTAAAGCTACAAAATTTCTGAAGTTGACATTCAGTATTTTTTAGGTTTTTTTTTTTTGTTTCATAATTACCCTTATGACAAATCAAAATCTTGAGCCAAAATTTTACACAAGACTTTTACTCCTTATTCAGATTTTAAGACATAGTGCCATTACCTAAAGCAAAGCATATCCACCCAGAGGGTTACATTCTGGTTCAATTATATCAAACACTGACTTAATTAAAATGTATTAATAAGGGCCAAGTTCTCAAAATGGTGTAAGTTTTCCTCATACTTTAATAGTATCTTTAAAATGGTGGGTAAATAGTATTTAAAAAATAGACCCAAAAAGCTGGATAAAACAAGATTTGTTGGTATGTTAGGTATATACATTTATTATAAAATTAAAAATATGTTCTGAAAAAAATATGTTCTGAAATTTTTCCAGGTTTAGAAAATAAGGTTCATTTGTTAGTGACAAAGTAGGCTAAATAATATTTCACATTCTGACATTTCAAAAACTGTAATGACACTAGACATTTTTTACCATTTAGATCATTAGAGACCAAAGTATGTGCCCTGAAGATTGACTTGAACTGGTACTTTGCAATGAATAATCAAAGGAATAATCTTTCTAAGAGTGATAATTTTAAACAAAATCCCCAGCTGCTGATCTGATTTTAACCAAATTACCAACACATCAATAGGTAACTTGGTGCCCATGCTTTCAGAAGCTCATCCGTGGCACTGGACATCACTCACTGAATCAAAATGAGAAATATATCAATATTATGATCCAATTTTTGAAATCTAGTGAGTCTTAAGATTAAGACGAGTGCATTCAACAACCGTAACAACTAGCAAGTTAGGAGTTCAAACCATGTTTTATACATAATTAAACTATATAAGGAGTAAAAAACATACCCAAAATTCAAATTTAAAGTTAACTGTTTTAAATGGAAGTCCACAAACAAGTGGTGAATGTATTGCCTCTAAGTTTAGGCCTCATAGTATGGTAATTTAGAATTAGCTTTACAGTGACACATACTCTCATGAGCTACAGTGAGTGGCAAGACAACATGATTATCACTCTTTTAGCTGAAGAAATTAATTCAACATAGTAATCTTACATTAATATGCAGGACTGCTTCATTAGTAAAATATATGTATGTATATACTGCCATATATATACACACACATATCTATTGCATGGTAGTACATTTCACTCCTATGTGATATGAAATTAACTGTACAGTGTACACAACTTGCAGTATTGGAGCAGTGGTGATGAGACAAAGTGATCTGGTAAAAACACAGCACACTGAGGCTGAAAGTCATAAAAGGGCTTGTTGAATGACAAGATCCTGAGAGCAAAGAACTCAGACATTTTTGTCTTAATTTCAGCTTTATTGAGATATGTGACTTTTGGTCTTCTAAGATTATACTGGATTTGATTTAGTGATGAATGCAATCACCTACTGGCATTAATATCACATTAATCTTCTCACAACCCTAGGCCCAGGATGATGAAGGACTGCTTTGGGCTCAATGAATTCTCGATCAAAAGGAAAGATGCTTTCTCTACCCTACCATATGTCAGATTGTGTGTCTGCTTTGTATAACCATCTCATTAGATCATTTTGGAAATAATTACTCTAAAGACAATATCACTTTGTTTCCCATATTTTCCTGCCAAAGTAATACTAATATTTGGGGTTTTCTCTGAAAGAGATCAATTTCAATCTGGTTTATTATATTAAGTATAAGGAACTGGTAATGGTTGGCTCTAATTATATTGATAATAGCTCTATTTAAGTTAGATGAACTTTCATAAACTAGTTTTCTAAACATTCACCTTGATTAGTTTATTAATGCTTTCCTTTTATGGAGGTCCCCAAATGGTCATTCCTGGGGCAGAGCAGGGAAACTCCAAACAAAGCTGCAGCCCCACTGTTACTTACCAAAGTTGTTGCAGCAGCAGTAGCAGGAGAAAGGGCTAAGTTCTATATGTATGTGAGAGAATGATTATTGCAATTGTAGGCTATAAAACACATACCACTTGTATTGTTCCTGAAGGAGGTACTCGATAACCCCTTTTACCAAGGGACTCTAAAGTGATCACACCCTTGAAATAAAAGAAGACAAAATGAGTACAAAGTGACACATATGTACAGAACAGACTAAATTAAGAACAAATCATATAATCAAAAAGATTTCAGAATATTGTTTATATAGAAAAACATTTGTTAAATTAATAGAGATATTTTATAGTATAAAATATTGAGGGTTCTACCCTATCCTGAAGCTATTATAGTAAATTTACACATCAATAATGGTACATTGCTTGAAATTTCTATTAAAAGATACAGAAAGAAGGTTACTAAGCCAAAAAGGAAATAAAAGGAGTTATAAGATCCTTGTGTCATGATGGAGGCAGGAAAACAATTTATTGGTCTTTGAATATATAGAATTCAGAAATGTGGGAGAATCTAAATCTTGGTAAAAAATGAAGTAAATTCTTCACGTGGGAAATAAGTTATACATAGGTTTTTCTTAGTAGGGACAGGCTGGCATCATCATCATTATTTGTGAAATTGTTACTAACTGCAGGATTTCTGGTTTCTCCCTGGACCTAAGAAGCTAAATGTGTGTTTTAAAAAGATTTCCAAGGTGTTATCATGTACAAGTTTGAGAAGCACTGCTGCAATATAAGTGTAAAGTGGTTTTCTGAGGATGTTTAAATCACTGCGGAAGTCCAAACACTAGGAAATAAACATTAGTTGTCTGAAACATTTCTAAATAATCAGGATGATCACATCATCAGTGGTGACTATGACACTTAATTCTTAGCTTTATGAAATGAATGTTAATTCATTTGTTTTAATTGAACTAGTAGTTTTCTTTTACATATTTAAGGTAGTTAAGGTAGAAGAACTGTATGTTCTTCATTTCAAATCCTATTACATTACATTGTGAAGGCTAAAACATATCAATATTATGTAAAAGTGACTATAAAACAGTACTAATTTCAACGGACACTATCTCTGTTAGGTTTTAAAGACACAATAAGATTAGGGGATAAGAAAGAATGACAAAAGAGGAAGAACCATAATTTGATATGTGAATACTTCAACTCCACGTGAACAGTACTTACCATCAGACTGTTAAACATTGGGATACTTTCATGAAACTGGGAAATTGAGAAACCATGTGTGGTTCTTGACAAATGTGATTCATCACACAGTCATTTAAGGCATAAACATAGCAAATCAACAAAAACTGTGTCCCAAACTACAACAACAATGATGTTTTCATAATTTCCCTTATAATCTGCTCTATATGAAAAATGTGAGGTTATATAATACAATGCACTCTTGTTCTTAGTTCCGGAAAGAAAAAGCAAAAATACAGCTAGTAATATCTATCTTTAAAATCAAATTTAAAGGCATTACAGCACTGTTCTTCCTTGTCACCTCCCCTAATTACATATAGGAAAACTTAGGAGGCAAAAATTAGTATCAAGCTTATATTTATATCCTTTAATACATACAATTCTAATAATTTTCAAAGCATGACAACTAACTAAATATATTTATAAAGAAAGAATATAGACATTTAAAAAAAATTAAAGGTTAAGGCAACTTTACAACAATAATTTTTAAGTAATTTAAGACCAATAGTGGTAGTGGCAAATTAGGAATTTTAAAGAGATTGGAAAATTATTTAGAATTTCATTTAAATTATTATTGAATACATTATTATTATTATTTTAATTTTTTGACATGTTAATATTTCTACTTGAAAAAATTTAACCACACTTAACACAAATTAAAAAATCACATTTTCTTCCTGCATTTTAGGATGGTATAGAAAGAAAGGCTAAGATAAATAAACCGAGGTAAAATCTTATATAAAAAGATCAGTACAAATTATTGTGGAATAGATAATACATTTTAAAATTAAGTGAAACTGAAAAAGAAGCATATCTTAGTTTGGTTAATCAGAAATAGAGGAAAATGATATATGACCTTGCTAATGTAGTGGTTAGCTAATGATAATGCAAATCATACCATGAATTTGCCACTAATATATCTGACCAGTTCTACCATGCAATAATATCTAAACAGTGAAATTATGTCATTTTATAGAATACTTGGGGAATATTTTTACCACTGATTAGCAACTGGGGAGAGATATTATATGGTTTCCAGTTCATCTTTAAGGAAATATTTAATGAAAAGACCTGTACAACATAATCAAGAACTTTCTAAATATTTCCTTTTATAAGTCATTTCTATAATTTGTTATAAAAGCTCTCAAGGTTATTACTAGGATGACAAGTAGGAATTTGATGTTTCAATCTGCATGTCTTTGATAATTATTATCTCACTAAAACATCAGTCTAAAAAAGGCTAACTTATCAATATATAACTAAAATTCACTTATAAACACATTTATTTCATTAATGAACAGCAGGAAAGATCTGTGGTTTAAGATTTTGACTTGATCATCTACAAAGAAAATTCTTAATGAGTACAATAACTTAAATACTGCATAAGGCAAAATTTAATGAAGATTATTACCGGAGAAAAGCTAAATCAGAGATACATGAAAACTAGATTAACTCTAGTCTTTAACCTGATTTAAAATCTCTCCATATCTTTCAAAACCTGTGGTCAGTTGCATATACTTTCTGGAGAGGATAACAACATCCTTTACTTCTTTTTTTTTTCTTAAAGATTTATTTATTCATACAGAACTGGGGTACAGGCCAGAGATGCAGAGGGTGAGAGAATTCATCAGGGATAGAGTGGGGAGCAGAACAGGCAGATCAACGAAGTACACTGCTGAGGGGAGCAGCGGGTGGGTCAGGAGAGGTCTGCCATGCCAGGTGGAGCTCCTCTGGGGCAGGAGGGGATCGAACTTGTGCAGAAGTGGCTTAGGCTTCTTTTGCAGTGCATTAACGCGCTGCGCCACCAGGGAGGGCCCAATCCTTTTTTTTTTAAAGCAGAGTGCAAATTACCTCTTTCTCATGAATTTCACTTAGATATTTAGGCTGATTTTCAGCCAATTCACTCTTTCACCTAATTTCTAAAACATCCTCATGGTCATCAGGGATTCTAACTGGCAGATAACAGTATTTTTAGACTGTAACTTTCCATTCTCTGTTAACTATGTGCCAACAGGATATGTGAAATTGATGAGACTTTGTGTCCTGGTAAAGCAAAAAGGCAACCTTTATAGCCAGGTTCTAATATTGTTACCATTATAGTATGACATACACTTTTCTGACACTGCAGTTATCTCAATTATACTTTATATTTTATTAACTATCCAAAATTAGCAGTTATTTTATGAAGTTGTACTGGAAGACTGGATCTTTCTATGATAAAAAAAAAAAAGTAACAGGTGGCATATATGGTAACTGAACAGTTGTGAAAGAGTAAGCCTTTGCTTTTGATAATTACCAATGTTGTGTATCTCCATGATTATGACCATCAGTATAAATAACTACTGGGAAAAGAAAACTTTCAGTAATGACCAGAAATCACTATGACTTTTCCATTAAAGTACAAAATGCTGATTGATTAGGTTCTTGATTAAAATTTCTCCCTTAGACAACTATGGATGATTCAGTGGTGGGAGGGTTAAGGTGACTGACTATACCTGAGCGGGGGTAATCCTGCACCCTGACAAAAGATTAAGGATATAAAACAATGATACATCAATAAAAGAAAATCAACTAAGTAAATAAAATTTCATCCTTAGAATAAAGCAAAATGTTCTTCCTTGAGAAACTGGACCAATAAAAAGTAGGTTATATTTAGATCTCCCAAAAATGGACTCTTCCCGGCCCTCCCTGGTGGCACGGCGGGTTAAAGCACAGCACTGAGAAGCTAAAGCCACTTCTGCATGAGTTCGATTCCCACCTGCCTCCTGCCCCGGAGGTGACCACATGGTGTGGCAGACCTCTCCTGACCCGCCTGCTGCCCCCTCAGCAGTGTACTTCATCGATCTGCCTGTTCTGCTCCCCACTCTGTCTCTGGTGAAGCCTCTCGTCGCCCCTGAGCCTCTGGCCTGTACCCCAGTTCTGTATGCACAAATAAATCTTTTTTAAAAAAAAAAATGGACTCTTCCCTTCCTCTGTTATTTCTCAACTATACAGAATTTCCATTTTTTCCCCACAGCTTCTATTAACAATAAAAATACACCATTATTAATTAAAGTCCTTGAAAACCTAGAAGGTAGGGGAGAGGAATACTAGGAACCACTTGGCCAAGCAGTGATCAAGGAAATTCAGTAGCAAGATCTGAGCTGCATATTTCTACGCTTCTAGCAATTTACTTCTTGATGCAAGACCTAACAGACACAGGTCTGTCTCTGCATTTGATAACAACTCTCAACTTCTTACAGACTTGCACTGTGAGGCTCTTCACCCTCTTTGTCTTTTGGAAAGGGCTGATGTTAATCTTACACCAGTACTCAGAATCATTTACACAGTTGGTAATTTATTTATCCTCAATTCACTGCAGTAAAAATAGAAAAGGTGAGATATCACAGGATCTTAGGGTTTCAGACTGTGCTGTAATTCCTCTCACCAATACTATTTTCCTCTAAAACATTACAGAGTCAGAGATACACAGTATTCTAAAGAACTTTAGAATTAGAAAAAATGATTCAAGTAAAAAACAGGAGAAGGTAATAAAGAGCTTCACGGAAGCCTTAGCTCACCAAAATTTACCTAAACTCCACTGAGATGAGGAACCCACATGAAGACAGCTTTTGTAGGACTAAAGTGCAGGGTGGACACCTGAGTACTATGGGAGCTCAGCAAGATACACAATGTCACTAATCAAATTTTTATCATTTTTTCTAAATCAGATAGAAACTGGTAAATTTTTGGCATTCTCCTCAGGTGCAAAAGAGGATATCTATTAGAGCTAACTTTGTTTTTAAGGTATGGTATTTTAGTATCTCTTCAGCCCCCTTAGGAAATGATTTTCAAGCATTGTACCAAAGTGATACTAAATATTTTTAAATTGAAAGATACTTGTCATTAATTATGTTGATTTTAGCAGGAAAAGGACAATTTGAAAGATACTTGCCATATAAGGAGAGGGAGCATTATCATCTGAAACACTGTAGAATGACACTTCAACTGGAAGAGTCAAATGTGTGGGGCAGAAAACACCACTTGCCCCTACCTCGGCAGTAAAACCATCAACAATGCCAAGAGGATCAAAACGATAGTTCAAGACAGATTCCTGGAAGACAAAATAATTTTTAAGACAAGAATTTTAAAGTTACCACATTTTTTTTTCTTTTTGAAGAAATACATCATTGCAGTTATGACACCAGAAAGGCATGGCAATCATCGGCATGCTCTCATCTTGAAAGTTCGTCTAAGCTGAAGTCATCCCCTTCCCTGCAATCCATCACCTTACAAAGGTTGGTCTCCTCGCACTATTCCAACCCAACCTAAACTAGCCTTGAACTAATTTAGTTAGACTTAATTGTCTAATATTTTGTTCTTATTTCTGTAATTAGAAATATACTCGACTGGAACAGGTATAATTTTAGAAATTTTCTTATCCTTTACAGAGCCTATTTATAGTGAGCCACAGAGAAGCACCTGAAACTTAAAAGTTAAAACTTAAAAGTTTTGGGACCCTCCATGGTAGTGCAACACCATGAAGCTAGCCATAGCCACTTCAGCACAAGTCTGATCCTTGGCCACAGAGGTAACCTACATGGCGCAGGAGACCTCTCCGCTGCTCCCCATCAGCAGTGTACTTTGTCAATCTGCCTGTTCTTTTCCCACTCTGTCTCTGATGAATCTTTTCACCCCCTGCACCTCTGACCTGTACTCCAGTTCTATATGTATAAATAAATAAATATTTTAAAAAGTAAAAATAAAACTTATAAATTTTTTCTTAAAGATTTATTTATTCATACAGAACTGGGGTACAGGCCAGAGATGCGGAGGGTGAGAGGATTCACCAGAGACAGAGTGGGGAGCAGAACAGGCAGATCAATGAAGTACACTGCTGAGGGGAGCAGGGGGCGGGTCAGGAGAGGTCTGCCTCGCCATGTGGATCTCCTCCAGGGCAGGCGGGGATCGAACTCATGCGTAAGTGGCTTAAGCTTCTCAGTGCTATGCTTTAACCTGCTGTGCCACCAGGGAGGGCCTAAAACTTATAAATTTTTAACAGGTCATGTACATAAATTTCATCATAAGAGACAACTACTTCTAACTTTAACTGAGAAATAATTACTTCCTAAAAAAAGGCTATCATAGGTGACATATATTTTATAGTTTGGTTGAATTTTCGAAAACGTATGTTATAAGACAACTTAAAAGTCCAGAAAGACAAGCATAGAGAAGATTCTTATCCAAGTCTCCAAAGCTCACTCCCCAAGATAAAAATTTTTTAAATTTTAAATTTAAGTCTAGTAGCTGAAGATTTTGCTAGACATCCTATAATGCAGAAGACAAATACCATATTGGAATTATCTGCCTCAAGTAGTGATAGTGTTGAGGTTAAGAAGTCTTAGATTATGCAAAACTGTTTTTAGATACACCAAGATTCATAAAAGTAAGTAATATGTGGACATCAACAAAATTAATATGTTTGCTCTTCAAAAGATACAGATGTGAACATTTAAATCCAGGTCTCAGAGAAAATATTCAGAAAACATAAGTGTTTATATGGGAAAGCAAAGGTAAATGATAGGCCTCAACAGTATTAGTCATTAGAGAAATTTAAAAACACAGTATAATAGCCTATACACCTGCTAGAATGGATGATATTAAAAAGACTGATCACTGTAAACATTGGCAAAGATATAAAAGAACTAGAACTCTCATACACTGGTGGGAATTTAAAATGGTATAATTACTTTGGAAAACAGGCAGTTTCTTAAAACGTTAAACACTGACCTACTATATTACCCAGACATTCTATTTCCTGGAGGTTACCCTTGAAAATGAATGCTTATGTCCACACAAAAGCTCAATGAGTATTCATAGCAGCTGTATTTCTAACAGCCCAATATTAGAAATGACCTAAAGGTCTAGGATGAGGTGAGTGAAAAAGCAAAGAGTGGTATTCAAATAACAGTAATAAGAAGAAATAAACACATGATACACAGGATAGTATGATGATGATGACTAAAGGAAGCCCTGACCCCAACAGTAGACACTGTGACTCTATATAAATTTCTAGGAAAAGTAAGCTAATTCATAGTGTAAGAAAGCAAAGGAAACCTGTTATATGGCAAAAGTATTTAACCTTTATTGAATGTTTATTGAAATGAACTGATAGAAGATCATGGGGCAGATGAGTTACATGGATTAAGACCAAGGCTTTTGGAACAGAACTCTAAAAGATAAGCAAGGAAAAGCTAATAACTAGTCAAAGAAATCTGAGCAACAGCTTTCTATTCAATATGATTGTGTTTCTAGTCTCTACTTAGTCTCACAAATAATGTCAAGATATCATAATTTCTCTTGATAACATAGCAGGGTCACACTCTGCATGTCAGGGCCCTCCGTGGTGGCCTAGGGGTTAAGACTCAGCACTATCTGCTCTATGCCCAGGGAGCTAACGTACATATGGTTCAGCAGACCTCCACTGCTCCCCCTATTAGCATATTTTGGTAAATCCGCCTGTTCTGCTTTCCACTCTGTCTTGGGTGAATCCTCTCACCCACCCCCCACCCACAACTCTGGCCTACACCCCAGTTCTTCTATGCAAAGAAAAAATGAAACGAAAAAGACTCTGACATGACATGCTTAATGAAACAAAATCATGTGTCAGTTTAGTAATTAAAATCTATCTACTTTCTCTCTCTTTATTGCCACAGAGTCAAATTCACTAATTTACTGGAGAGTATACCAAAAACATTAAAAGAGGATTTACGGGTTAGATAGTCTTAGACTTTCTATTTTTTCCTTTAACTCTCAAGATTTTTGCATATTTGCATGAAGGGATAGGGAAAAGAAAAGGAAGGAGTAGAACTGCTAAGGAAAAGAAAAGGAAGAAGGATTTTCAAGGCTCTGGAAAAATAAAATTCATTTATTTATTTGCCTCCCACAAGTAAGGTTATAAACACAAAAAGGTACCCTAAAGTTTCTAGATTAAGAAACTTCAACTCTGAAAATAGTTTCAAAAACATTACCTCAAAATTTCCTAGGAGACTAAGACTTGTAATAGGTGGAGCACTGGAACTCAGAAATGGTTTTTCATGAATATCCGGGTCATCTTCAACATTTAAACATGGTCGAGAACTAGTTAAAAAATACACAAATGGACACATTAAGCACAATATTTCCTAATATAATTTTGTAAAATTAAATTAGAAAAATTTGATTAATTCCTGTATCAATCCTCATTTTTGGTTAAAAATGAGAAAACAAAGGCAAAATTATGTGGCTAAAAACTGTAAGTGTAGTGTTATTTACCAAGAGAACAAATTGCCACGAATCTCTTGCAAAGGGGTATAAACAGTAAAAGAGGAGCAAAATGACTTTAAGAAATATGTAAACTTGCTTATATGGTAAAGCCAATGCATTTATTATGATGGCCAACATGTACCAGTTACTCAGTCTTAAATTTTTTTCCTCCACTGTACCTTAATTTCTTTGTGCATAAAATCACATCAAAAGTGAGAACCAACTTGAAATAAGATTATTGTTAAAATGCTTATTTTTTTTGCTGTGAAATACAAGACTTGTATACAATTCTGTTTCTTATACACAAATACACAAATACCTTCTAGATGATAAACTTTTCAGATGCAGTAACGAAGAATCCAGATCAAAGCAACCTGATGGTGTCTTTCTCTGAGGAACCTAAGGTCAAAATAATCAGGTGATATTTAAGACTTTTTTCATTAATTGATAGGATTCAAACAAAAGCTAAGTATATCTTAAAATAATACAACAACTCTGGGCCCTCCCTGGTGGCACAACAGGTTAGGACGAAGCACTGCAAGCTAGCTGCAGCTGCTTCAGTGCAAGTTCAATCTCTGTCCCTGGAGGTGATACACATGGCATGGCAGACCTCTCCTGACCAGTCCACTGCTCTCCACCACAGCGTACTTTGTTGGTCTGCCTGTTCTGCTCCCCAGTCTGATTCTGGTGAACCTCTCACTGCCCCTGTACCTCTGGCCTGTACCCCAGCTCTGTATGCATAAACAAATAAATCTTAAAAAAAAAAAGTCTCCAATAATAGCTTATTTAAAATATGCTCTTATAGCATATTTGTTCATATGCTCTAATTTTATTAGCAAGGATAGGGAAAATAGATATTGATTAATAATACTCTTACTCGGTTTAGATTTTTTTTTAAAAGAAGCAGAACAGATTTTTGTAAAACCAGTGTTTACTTTAAAAAGACAAAAATTATCATCTACCAATAGCAAAACATGTTTTTATGTCTGCTTACTAGAGGTTCAATGGAAACATTAAAGAAGCGATTGCATCTAACTACTGTGTGCTTATGAAGGGTCAGGAGCAACACCAGTCATCCTCAGAACATTAAGGAAGACACGGTCATATGCGTCCTCACGGATGAGAAAAGTGATACTAGGAGAGGTGTGTTACTCAGTTTTACATGGCAAAAGTGAAATCAGTACTGAGTCCAGAATAATGTTCTTTACCATTGCACTCAGATATATAAGTCTATTTGTACATGTACAGTGGGGAAATTCACAACTCAAAATAAGATGATTAGTGCATGGGTTCCAAGTTAAAGACAGCCATGAATTTGACTCCCATTCAAGCTAGCTAGTCTTGTCAACCAGTTTCAGTATGAAGGTACAGTTTATTGGTAGCAAATGCCACTATTTTCATTTAATAAAATTTTAAAAAACACAGACAAAAGAATGTCAGAGAAATTTTACAATCCTAAATATATCTATAATTTTCTACCCCCTTTCATATTAACAAGTATTAAATATATAATAAAATGTTTTGCAATTGGAAAATTATTTTTAATATTAAAAAAATTTTCAATTAAAATTTGGGTGGAATGACTCACAAATAGTTTAGATGCTTGCAAGTTCTAAACATGAAATAAGAGAAAAAAACACTTACAGGACTTGAAAGAAGAGGCAATCCAGTTTGAGGATGAAAGGCTCTCGTTGAGGTTCCATCCAAGGAGTGAAAATTATGTTTCCGCCAGACATTTGAATGTTTCAGTGGTACAGTCCTCTGCTAGGAAAAATAATTCAATTTTAGGTGATATTTAAACTTTTTTTAGACTTATTCCTAACATGTTTTGAGGTATTATATCCTTGGTTGTGAAGTTAGTGATCTATGTATCTATATAAACATGTACATAATCAAAATTTAATGGGGAAATGTCTAAGCATTTGTACTGAAGGTGCTAAGTAAACCCACATACTCCAAAGAAACTATATTCAAATATAACTGCCTTACAAACAATGGTCATATTTATAAATACTCAGAGCCTCGCATCTAATAAGGTATTTAATTCTTTTAATTTGATCTCTTAGACTTAACAGACAGTTAAAAGTTTGTTGCCATATTAGCAGTTTATAAATAGAAAATTTTCCTGTTTTTTAAACTATTTGGTCTCTATTTCTAATTACCTACTATTTCTCTTAAGTGGGTAGATTCTTTGCAAGGATGTTAATACTAGATTTCTATAGCAGGTTTATTATGTCAGACTGTATATTCTATAGATAATGGGCACTGAGGTTCTTTATAACTAGATGTTCTGTAAACAAAAATTTTAACCAGAATACACTTTGAGAATTGTGTTTGATGTAATTAGATATTACCTACCAATGCCTCTGTGTTTTTCAGCTGTTCACTTGTAGACATACAGTCTTTCATATTTTTTCTCTGAGGGCACGTTTGAGATTTTTCAGCAGCTGGCTCTTCCTTCTTATCTTGTTCAATTTTTAATTTTTCTGGCTTTTTGCATTTGAGAACTTCATTATTTTTATTAAAATGATTTTGTATGTGATTAAGCTCAGTATTTTGCTCACATGCTTTAGGCCTTTTTGAGTCTTTATTTGAGCACTTGTTTTCAGGTTTGTCCAAATGTCCAGACATTTCCAACATAGTTACTTTTATTTTGGAATCATTTTCTTTTGAATTATCAGGTCGGTGATTATTAAAAGATTCTGGATTAAAGTTTTCATTTTTTATTATTTTTTCCTTGTACTTATATATACAAATCTGTTTGTCAATACTGCTGCAATTTGAACACTGCTTATCAACTTCATTGCTTATCTCTTGCTCTTTAAATTGACACTCAGAAAGTGTATTTGCCAGTCTGACTGTCAAATTTAAGTTACTTTCTGTACGGTGAGACGTATTTGAGGAAGTCAATAAACTATTGTCTTTGTTCTTTGTCTCTTGAAATGCACTTTGCATAATTTCACTAGGATTTTCCTGATATAAATTTCTTTTCACTTGAGGTTTCAAAGAGGACTTTTCAGTACTGCTGCACTTAAAGGAATTATATGATCTATCAGGTGTTGAGTTTTTCCTTTCTCTGCTGTCTTCTAACAAGGAAAATTTTGTATTGGAAATGGAAACAGGGCCATCATGCTTGTTTTTCTTCAGCACATTTTGGTCGTCATATGAACTCCTGAACACTTTAGGAGAAACAGAACTGGAATCATGCGTGAATGACTGCCTGGGCACATGGGATGCTGTTGGGTCAATGTGCTGTAAGTGTTGAGCAATCCTTGCAATTACATCTTGCCGCTCCTGAAGTAAAGATCCTATCAAAGGGTTAGTCTCACCAATAGACTGACGAGAGTAAAAACCATTAGCAACACAGGTTTCATCTTGAGAAGTTTCTGTTTTTACTCTAATTTTCCCCTCACCTGTGTCTTCTGAGGAGGTAAACTCTGAACTACCAAAAGAGATGGGAAAAGTTTCTTTACATTTTCTCATGTGTTCATTTTCTCGAAAGAGTTTTGAATTAAGTGAACCAGACTCCTGTGTATTAAATGGGCGTCCAGAAACATGAGAAGTGCTTGGATCACAATGAATCAAATGCTGAGCAATTCTTGCAATAACTTCTTGTCGATCCTGAATTAAAGAACCTATTAAAGGATTACTCTCACCAACTGACTGCCAGGAACTCTGGCGGCTGGAGACACTGGAATCAATCATTGAAAATGATTTTAAAGTTCTCACTGATGTCTCATGTGACTTTTTATCTCCTAAACCACTCATACCCAGAATATTGGCTTGAGATGTTCCATAGTCAGATTTATTGCCAGTGCCTGGATAAAGTCTGACATTTTTGACAGTTGTGGTATATTCCGAAGTTGTGCCATTTCTCATGTGTAGTACACTTTCAGGTGCCACGGTCCATGTTGGTTTGCTACACAAGCGCTGTGAACTGTTTGTACTACATTGCTCTGTTTCATTAGCATTGCGGTACTGATGGGTTTTAAGTTCATGTTCTTGAATTCTTTTCTCATAAAGGCCAATGTTAGTGTGAATACTACAGGTCAAAACTGGATAATTAGATTGTCTGGGCAGGGACTGAACACTGACTTTCAAGGCCACATTGTGAGAAACATTGGGAACAGGAAACACATGCTCAATTGGAGTCTGTGAAAAATTCCACTGTAGGTCTACATCAGCAGCACTGATTCTGGAATCACACAAAGAATACCGAATCAACAGATTATAAAATTTATATCATTATTGTATATTTAAAATGCAATCAGTCATATACTTATCTCTGTTAACTTCTTCTAAAGCTTATGTTCAATCACTTACCATACATGTCATTCTGATAAAACCAATAAAAGCAGTACAATAGGCCCTCCCTGGTGGCGCAGCAGGTTAAAGCACAGCACTGAGAAGCTAAAGCCACTTCCGCATGAGTTCAATTCCTGTCTGCCTGGGAGGTGACCACATGGTGTGGCTGACCTCTCCTGACCCGCCCGCTGCTCCCCTCAGCAGTGTACTTCATTGATCTGCCTGTTC